TACCCTACTTCTTTGCAGTTTCTGGGGCCACGGGGGTTTTAGAAGGAGCCAGTAGATAGCATTTTGGACAGCCTTCTGGGTGCCACGATGATTCTAACGTTCATGTATGTGAACTATAACCCATGAGGTGTGTGAGTAGTTATTAATACCATTCTACAGATGAGGAAGTGAGCACAAAGAGGTTCAGTAACTCTCCCAAGATTCCAGAACTAGCACGTGATAAAGCCAGCTTAGACCCCAGGCAGTCTGGGTCCAATACCCACACTGTCACCACTGTCTGCTTGACCCTACGGAAGACCTGGCCCCTGTGGTTAAAGAACCCGTGGGCAGGGCTAGCATAGTGGTTGAGGTGCCAGACTCCCATGTAGCCCCACGTCATTGGAGCACACTGTAGGAGGTGGTGGGGCGGAAACACAAGCTAAGGGCCCTGGGAGCCCAGAGCAGGGGTGCAGTTGAGTGCACCTGCAGTGAGCAAGGAAAGGAGAAAAGAAATAATACTAATAGCTTATGTTGGGGGGACTTCGAAAAGTTCATGGAAGGGCCAGACTTGTAGCACAGCAATTAAGTGCTGTACATGAGGAGCCAGATGCCACATGGTCAGCCATGGTTCAAATCCTGGACCCGGTAGCTTGAAAAAAATGCCAGGTGCACATGCACATGTGTACGTACATGCATGCACACCCCAAATTCCAACAGGATGACAAAATGAAGAAGGGATTGTGGTGTGGCCACACCCTATTGAGGGGTTACTTTCTCCTTCTCCCTGTCTCTCTCTGTCACTGTTTCTCTCTGGTGAACACATGTACCCTCTGACAATAAAAGGGGGGGGCTAACAGGTGGCATAGTGGTTAAGGCATCAGACTCCCACATGGTAGATTACAGTTCAAATCCTGGACCTGGCAGCTTGAAACTCAGGCCAAGCACATGTGCACACGTGCCCAAAATACTGAGAAGAGAATGGAGGAGAAGGGATTGTGGCATGGCCATTCCCGTTGGGGGGTGAGTTCTCATTTTCTGGCTCTCTCTCTCTGGTAAGCACATGGGCCCTAGAGCAAAATTCTCTCCAAAAAAATAAGTAAATAAAAGTTAAAGACAAGAAAATATGGATATGTGGCCTTTCCTCCAGAGATGAGTGTTGGCCTCACTTGTAGTACACTTACATCCGGCAGTTCTGTGCCCAGTAGCTCCATCTCACTATAGCACTAGCATGGAATCTTTATCAAGACGTGTAAGTTAACCATTAGACACCAGATGGTAGATGTCTGTGCCGCTAAGGCCGACCATTCCAAGTGAGACAGCCTGGGGCAGACACCGTGTCTGCATGGCTGACGGGCGGCAGCACAGGTGACAGCTGGGTCTTGCCTTCTCTGTGGGGATAGCAGGCCTCATTTGGTACCCAAAGAAATAGGCGTTCAGAAATATTAAAATGTGGGGGAAACGTGTTTTACCAGTCTCAGTTCTTAGCAAACCAAAGAAGCTGATTCTAGCAAATTTAAGCAGAAGGGGAATTTTTTTTGGAGGAGCACGTGATTCACAGAATTAATGGGAAAGGTAGAGGCAGGCTCAGGAGCAGGTTAGAAAGGCACCGCCATTATGAATAAGTTATTTTCCCTGTGTTTGTGCGTCATTCCTTCAAGGTTCGACACTCCATTTTGGTGAAGGGAGCTGAATATCTAATTCTAGGTCACCTGCCTCTACCCCGACCTGCTAAGGTAGGGGTAAGGGATTGTCCACCACACCTTCAGCTTCTACAGCCCACAAAGGACGCACCCCTGGCCTGAGACAGGAAGTGCATTCAGCAAAAAGCAACTTATGTCCACTCCAGTGTGCATACCTGACACTGCATTTTATTTATTTGTTTGCTTGTTTGTTTTTAAATTTTGCTATCTAAAAGGCACACATGCTTGTCAGAGAGAGACAAGAGAGAAAGTGAAAAAGCACCGCCCCCAGAGGGGGATGGCCATGCTATAATCCCTTCTACTCCATTCTCCTCTCGGGATTTTGGGCAGACATGCATGTGCACATGTACACATGCCTGGCATGTTTTTCAAGCCACTGGGTTTGGGACTCAGATTGTGTGGTGGGCCATGTGGGATCCAGCCACTTTAACCTCCATGCCACCTAGCTGGCCCGTGTGGCATCCAGCCACTTTAACCTCCATGCCACCTAGCTGGCCCCGTATGTATTTTTTTTTTTAATTTTTATAGCCCACATGGGCTTCCCAAACAAAGAGGGAAAGTGAGAAATCCACACACACACCCATGAGGGGGATGAGCACACCTCAGTCCTCTCTCTTCTCCTGTTGGGGATTTGGGCATGCACACACACACACACATGCCCAGTGTGTTTTTCAAGCATCCAGGTCCAGGGCTTGAACCCCACAGTTAGCCATGTGAGATCCAGTGCCTTAATGACCATACCACCGCATGCCCAGACAATACATTTTAATCTGCGCGCACCTTCCGATGATGATTCTGGTCACGAAAGTGGCCGAGTTGGAGAAATGGAAAAGCAAGTCCCCCTGCAGGTCCTGCTGGGGTGGTACCCAAGCCTCCCCTCGGTGAATCCTTCCATCTGCAGTTCTGCAGCCCTTGCTCTCACCAGGACTCTCAAACGGCAGCAGCACTTAACCACTGCCTTGGAAGGAGTTCGCTCTGACCTCACAGGGACAGAACACAGTCTTTGCTACTGTGTGGCCCGTTCAGTAGGTCTGCGATTGTCCTCTGATCTAAACTGGCTGCAGACAGCAATGAACATGGACTCTAGCCCACACCCCAAGAACTCCCCTTAATTATTAGAGCCTTCCAGCATATTCTCTGTATCTTGAGCCATTAAATTTTAATTTTTCTGAATTTATATTTGTGTAAGTTTTTTAGGACAATCTTGTGGTTCATGAATTCTCTCTTACACTGTGTAGTCTTGAGTTGTGTTTCTATAATGATTGTTTTTCAGAACATTTCTTTGAGAGTTGTATTTTTTCTGGGGTAGAGTATGGAAGAAAAGGGATTGTAGCATGACTACATTCCACTGGGGGTGCTTTCTCTTTTTCATGCAGAAGCAGACATCCCCTGGCCATTTAAAGTATGTGTCTGAATCTAGTCTGCTTGTTCAACTACTCCCCTTACCTGTTCTTCACATGCATAGAACCTGGTTCTGGGCCCTCCTTATTTTTGCCTAATAAGTCATCCTCCTTCTAGATATTTCATTTGCCTTAGATTCTACACTCTCTTCATCTCCAGGGCCAGCCTGGTATTATTTATTATCATTATTTATTTTTTTTATTTAGATTTTTGCCATAGAGATAGAGACAGAAGGAAAGTGAGAAGTTACCTCCTCAGGGAGATGGCCATGCCACAATCCCTTTTCCTCCACTCTCCTCTTGGGCTTTTGTGCACACATGTGCATGCACCCAGTATGATTTTCAAGAGGCCAGGTCTGGGATTGAACCATGGTTGGTCATGTGGGAGTCCAACACCTTAACCCCCTGACCCCTGGCGTTAAATTTCACATGAATGTTACCATGCTGTCTGTATCCTTTCTAAGCTGTTATTTATTCATTATTTGTATGTGTGTGTGTTTGGGTGGGAGGTCTTTTTTATGGGACAAGTTTTGTTGACAGGTTCTCACCACTATATGGTATTTTGTTATCTAAATACATTAGACTTGATTTTACAAAAACATCCGAAAGCAATGAGGCAAATTGGCAGAATTTCTTAGTTGTGTGGTCAGTGCACCAGCATTCATTATATTATTCTCTAGACTTTTATATGTGTTTGAAAGTTTTTAAAATCTCTAAAAAGAGGGAGCCCACTAGAGCAGAAGTCATGAAAGATAACATATCAGCCCTAGTTGGGCTAGATTGAGACTCAGATCCTCCTGCTAATCAGAGTGAGATTAAAAATAAACTCTGTGGAATTGGCCTCTTCTTGTTTGCTTTTTGTGGGAATCTGCCTCCCTGGGGAAATGCCTGAAAGTCTTGACCTCAGGCTGACGAGTGTTTATTTAGCTCCAAGGTCTGGAGCGTCTTGGTAGGTGGCCAAAGCAGGCTAACCAAAATGTGTTGTGGGCCTGGCCATCTTAAAAAGGAAATTGGCGAGAGAACACTCCACAGCATGGCTGTGAGACATGATTTTTGAAGGTATTTATAACATGCTTAAGCTATAAATAATCCAAATGATAAATAAGTATCGGTCACAATTTTGTCCAGGCTGCCCTTTGACCTCCTCAACACTCTACAAACTTGGGTTAAGAGAGGGTGATTCCCCTTCTGCAATGCTTCCTGAGCTCTCCATGGGACTCCAAGTGGCCTCCTCTTCCTCTATCTCCGGTACTTTCTGAAAAGGGGGGCTGTGTGCCAATAGGTGGAATGGAGGTTAAGGCAGCTGGGTCCCACATGGCCAAATTTGTGGTTCAAGTTCCAGACCTGGTACCTTGAAAATCACACTGGGTGTGTGTGTGTGTGTGTGTGTGTGTGTGTGTCACCCAAAATCGCAAGAGCAGAAGGGAGAAGAGACTGCCGTTGCTATCCCCTCTGGGGAGTTGATTTCTCTCACTTTCTCTCTTGCTCTCTGTCTCACCGGTCAGTACACATGCCCTATAGCATACTAAGAACAATAAATAAATGTTTGAAATGGGGCTTTTCAGAAGTAAGAGCTTTTGACCCATGGCCAGTGGCTTTACTAAGCTATTGATGAAAAGGATAGTACTTGGTCAAATAAGACACTCGTGTGGACCAAATGAAATTATTGATACAGATGTAAGCAATGCTCAAAGGGCCAGGAGCCCTGTTTATTTATTCCCTACTTCTTCCCATGGAAGGGCTCCCCATATCCCTGGTGTTGACCAGCTGCATCCAGCCAAGGAGGCCCCATCTGAAATGATTGTCAGGTCATAAGGCCACACGGCCTCCAGCTTGGAGTCGCGGCCTCCCCAGGCAGCTGCTGGGTTCCTGAGCGTGTCTCCACTTTCAGCCATGCTGACGCGCCCTTCTCTCTGCACAGGGTATGACTTCTGCCAGGTCCTGCAGTGGTTTGCCGAGAGGGTGGACAGGATCATCCTGCTCTTCGATGCTCACAAACTGGACATCTCAGATGAGTTCTCGGAGGCCATCAAGGCCTTCCGGGGCCAGGACGACAAGATCCGCGTGGTGCTGAACAAGGCCGACCAGGTGGACACGCAGCAGCTGATGCGGGTCTACGGGGCCCTCATGTGGTCCCTGGGCAAGGTCATCAACACGCCCGAGGTGCTGCGCGTCTACATCGGCTCCTTCTGGGCACAGCCCCTGCAGAACACGGACAATCGCCGGCTCTTCGAGGCCGAGGCCCAGGACCTCTTCAGAGACATCCAGAGCCTCCCCCAGAAGGCGGCGGTGCGCAAGCTCAACGACCTCATCAAGCGAGCAAGGCTGGCCAAGGTAAGCCGGGAGGCTGGGCCTGGGAATTCCACTCTGTCTCCTACAAAGGGACGATGGAGGGTGGGAGGGGGCTCTGTTCCAGAGGCCGTAGGAGTGGAATGCGTGGTAGGGTAAGGACAGAGCCTCAAGATCCGGCAGCCCAGGGCACTTTCCCGTTGGGGGCTCTGTGATCTCAGGCAGTGTCTCAGCCTTTCTAAATCTGGCTTCTAATCTGTAAAGTGATGTTGGTGAGCGCACTTCATCGGGTGCTCGTGAGGATTCAGCGTGCCAGGTTGTCAGCGTGGCGCACACACACTGTGGTGCCTGGTGTGACCGTTGGCCCTGTGACAGGTGGCGTAGGGGCCACCCAGGTGCTGAGAGGCCACCACTGGTCACCATGCCTGAGGCCCAGAACCCAGTATCATCGCCTAGACCCAGAGGATCCATGGGGGAAGGCTGGCCCAGCCTAACCTGCAGTGTGCTGGCTCGGGGCCCTCTCTGGCCCTATTCTGGTTGCAGCCTGTGCATACGTGCCACCCCGGCCTCAGAGCAGAGTCAATTCTGCCATTCCTCCAGGATAAAGTACTTAAAAAAAAGTAGTTCTCTAAAATATATGTGAGGCTGGCACTGTAGCCTCATGGTGAAGAGAGCCGGATCCCACATGGCCAACTGCACGGCTTGAGAAACACTAGGTGCATGTATGTGTGTGTCCAAAATCTCTAAAGGAGAGAGAGAGATAGACTGAGAAGGTGTTGTGGTGTGGCCATGACTCACTGGGGGTGCTTTCCCCCCTTCCCTCTCTCTCTGGCAAGTGTACACTCCCTGTAGCAAAAAGTACATATGTGTGTGTACATATATAATATATATTAATAATATGTATAATA